TGTGTAGCTGCAGCTAATGGTGCAGATTGTGTAGCTGCAGCTAACAGTGCAGATTGTGTAGCTGCAGCTAACGGTGCAGAGTGTGTCGCTGCAGGTAATTGTTCTTAAGTTATTTTTAAATCTTTCTATATTTCTAATTACTTCTCTCTCTGTTTTTCTCTCTCTCTATTTTCTCTTCACAAAAAAAAACAAAAAAACAAAAAACAAACAAACAAAAAAAAAACATAATGGTGTGGAGGGGATGGCTATAAGGGGAGAAGGGAGGCCATCCAAAAAAAAAAAGAAAAAAAATATTTTTAAATCTAACCCTGTGCCTTTAGTTACCTTAAGACAGTTTATTGCCTTTAAACATTTTTGCGTTATGATCCCTGACTTTGTCTGTTGGATTGTTGATCTTTTTTAGTTATTTTTCTGCTCTTAATTTTGTGAGACGTCAGGCTGTTGAAACTTTACCTTTTGAAAACCAAGTGACATTTTTTTCCTCATACTGTGTGACTTGAAGGCCACAGATAGTCTTTGTTACAGTGAAATGGTTCTTTTGACTGTAATCAGAGCTCAGAGGTGAACGTTTTGTTTCTGCTCTTCAATGCAAGTGCACGAATTAAAGTCTCACACAGAGTCAGAGTTTTCCAGCTTTTCTTTCTCCTACTTACCCCACACCCCCTCCCTTTTTTATTTTCCAGCTCACTAATTACATTTGGGTTTGAGTTGCTTCATTAATTTCATAGTACCAAAGTGATTCTGACCTGGTTCCTGACATAATTTCTAATAAATACAAACCACTTCACAGAKATGGACAACTACTGCTCAGTACGTTTACAAAAATGTAAAAACCATAATAAAAAGTCAAAGATGAAGATATTAGAAGGTAAATCTTGTAGATATTTAATGACTGACATAAGTTGTACAGAACAAGTTACAGATTCTGCAGCTGTTCTTTAATTTTGGGTCAGTTTGTAACTTTTTAAAGAACATTTTGTTTTTGTAAGCATGAACCTACGTTTTGCTGCCATCTTCTTCGTCTTTTCAGTGAGTAATATTTTATTTGATTGGTGGAAACTGGCAGCTACTTAACATTTTAATTTGTTTGGAAGCTGTGAGGGCAGACTGCTTCTGTTCTGATATATAAAACCTTCCACCTGAAGTATATTTATATATTTATATTCCAGTGACTGTATGAAGCTCCCAGTAGAGTTTGATTTATATTCAGGTCCCAGCGAGGAAACAAACCGAGTAAACACACACAGCTGTTATTCAAATGATTGTTGGTTTGAGTTATGGCTGCTTTTCTTCTCCAACAGTGGACTTTTTGAATAGAGTCCTGACAGAGATGGAGCGCAGGAATAATTGTTTCATTGCTCTGTTAGAAGCAGGCCCATCCATCAGCCTGTCCTGCAGAGAATGTGTTTAGTGCGGGGACGAAGAGCTGATGTGATGATGAGGAGGAGCGCAGTCTAAGGCTGCAGGTGCATAAATATTTTCTTCCATTGTCGGCCAAGACAATGAAGCTAGATTGAAACTGAGCCTCTTTTGTTCTGGAGTTTACCTGTGAGCTTGATTTAAACAGTGTTAAGTCTTTCTTTAAATATCTTTTTACTGGTCTTTGTTCCTGACACCAGTTTGGCTTGTTTATATGTTTTATATGTTTGTATGTTTTATGTGTTTATATGTTTTATATGTTTGTATGTTTTATGTGTTTATATGTTTTATATGTTTGTATGTTTTATGTTTGTAGCAGGAAAAAGATGACAAAGGCAGAAATACCACATTTATGCAGCCTGTCACATTAAACTGAGGATTAAGGTGAAGTGAGATATTAGGCAGATAAAGTCAAAAGAAATATTTGGTTTTTAGTCAAAATAAGATGGAAAACTACAATGGGTGCAACAATATCTGTATGGAACCATTCAACACACTGTTTCAATACAGATTTTTAAAATTTACTTTATCAACTTGACTTCTGAAGATGCTCTGTGTTGAAGGATCAGTGGATCTGTGTTCGACTACTACACCTAGGCTACATTTTTTGAGCACAGATCCACTAAGAAACTTGCTGTTTCAGCAATATTTAATTTAAAAACTGGACTTTTGAGGTTAAACAAATGTTCATAATTAATAATTTTAATAAATTTAAATTAATCACAAGTTAAGAAGGGCATGGACATTTCTCGAACTGTAAAAAAAAAGTACAGAGAAGTATTGAACTGAACCAAATCGTGAATGTTTTGTATCATTGCAGCCATAATACCAAATCTAAGGATCCATTGATGGGACTGTCCAAAATATATTCCTGAAGAATGTTTTGAATCACTGTTTTGAGCCAAATCAACAATAAAGAATTGATATGGTTTATTTGATTGGCATCTAAAATCATAATGAGATTAAAAAAAAAACAAATTTACAAACAATAGTTAAAAATAGTGAATAAACYACTAGAATCTGTGTAGTTTTATTGTGTAATTTGTGAATATAAATAAGAAGGAAGTGTTTTTGTTTTTATGTCGTTTCCTCCATCGTCAGTTGCTCAATATTTATTATGACGAGTCTTTTTGTGAGTTTTGTCATCGCAGTCAAATGCCATTAAAAGGAGCTGCACATGACTGTTGAAGAATCATTTTGTGAAGGCTTTCTGCCATTTGAGCCGTGTTAAAGGTGACGAAAAAAAAGAAAAATATAAACTAGATAATTCATAGCAGTAACATATATGACGCCCCACATGCACGCAAAGCACCAGAACTCCAAAATAAGTCCACAGGAGGTGGAGAGTAAC